TTTATTGAATCTATAACAGATAGGAAGTTTAATTTTTTTTATAATAATATCAATAATAACTATTTTAAATCAAAAAATATTCATTTATGAATATTTTCCGATTTAAAGTTTTTTTTTTTTATGTAACATATAATTTATCTGTTTTTATATGATATAAAAATAGATCAATTCTTAATCTGTTTTTATATGTTACATAAAAAAGAAGATTAATGCTTCAATTTAAAACTTTGCTTTTAAATTTATTGTTAACTAATAGTATCTGTTGTCAATTTCATTATGATGCAATATTCAAATCAGATAATTCATTGGTTTAATTCTTGCAAAAGACTTGTTAGTAATTTTCAAATATAATAAAACTTATCATCTTATTATCATCTTTTATTATTTTTGGATTGTATACTTCTTTATCCGTGGATTATTATTTAAATCATAATACAAGCATGCCTAATGTTTAGATGTTGTTTAGATCCTGCTGCACATTATGAAGCCTTTTTGAGATACCGTAAGTATAAATCACATATTTTATATATAACCACAACCAATATAACGTAATTAATATATAAACAAAGAGAATAACCATTCCTAATGTTAGCTTGTTGTTTATTAATATATTTTCTTTACATTTTCACTGTTAGTTTTCATTATGTTAATACAGTTGTTGCATCTTCCACAGAATTATGATTTCTTTCTTTTCATAGTGTTTTGTTGTAATTATACACTTTTTATTGATATTTTTTGTTCAATCTACCCAGCCTACCACTGTTAAGTTTGTATAGGATAACTAGATTATTAAATATAAGAATGTATATCTTGGTTTAATTTATATTATTTTTGATCTTCACTCCTTGTATCAGTTGCTACGGTTAGTTATTTTAAAAGCTAGTACTTTTTAATCTGTAAACAGATTTAATACTAATTTCAAAATCGTCAATTGCAATATTTATTTATTTTTATTACTTTTTTTTATCTTTAGCAACATCTTCATCTGCAATGAGTGGTATGTTTAGCAATTATTAATTTTTAATTTTTGCATTTCTTGACACTTCCAAATTTATTTTTTTATCAAAACTTTCTAGCTTTAATTCCATCCTCAATTGCATTAAGTGGTAAGCTTAAAAATATTTTTATTGCATCCTTCAAAAAACCTGTTCATGTATATATGTATTTCGGATCAATTGCAATATTTTTTTTTATTACATTTTTTTTTAACTTAGTTCTACATCTACATCTGCAATAATTTGTATGTTTACAAACTTTCACTTTTTAATATGTTTATGCATTTCTTGGCAATCACAATATTCATTTTTATTTCAACTTTGTTAACCTTTAGTTACATCTTCAGCTGCTACAAGTGGTAAATTTATAAACTATTATTTTCTAATATTTGTATGCATAATATACATGTGTAAAAGTATTGTTTCTAATATGTGTATGCATATCTTATCGATAGCAAGTAAATTGTAATTTTATTTTTGAAAATTTTTACTTTTAGTCCCACAACCTCCACAACAACTATAGATATAGGGTCCAGCACCCTGGACCGATTAGCAATTGGTCATTTTTGGGGTGGGCCCGGTTAGGAGGAAATGATAGTGAATCATTCAGCTGGGCCTATCATCCTCCAAACAGGGGTGCTGGGAGCTACAGCAGAAGAGGAAGCCATGGAGGAGATTGTGGGCGAAGACGGAATGGTGACGGCCTTGTCGTGAATGGTGGCATCCACTAATAATAGGCGCCACCATTCCTGTTTGCTTTTTTAAAAATAAATATATAACATTATCAAGTTTGTTTTCTATTTGGTCCCAATTTTTACAATTATTAACATTTGATTTATTTATTTTAAATCTTTCACAAAATGATTTAAAAACGAAGCATTGAAAGGTGTAATAGTTTGCAAGGGATCTATTTTGTATGTTTTCAATGTGATTAAAAGTTGTAGTGTAGAAAGTATTAAAGTTGTAACTATAAATAGTTATAGACTTTTTAATGCATTTAGGATTTTTTGAGGTTTTGAGATATTGAGATTTTCTCATAGCCCATATTAAATGCAGTTTCAAATTTATATGTAATGTTTTATTAAGTTGATAAATGTTAAATTTATTTTGCATACCTAATTACTATTCTTTATTTTGTTTTAGTTTACATACTGTTTTTTTGAGTTAAGAAATATTATTTGATTTTAGACCAGTTTAATTGTTTGATTTTAAACCAATTTAACTTATGCTTACAGTTCCTAAATATTATCTTTGCGTATTCATTACTTGTTTGTAGAAGGTATGTATGAGATTTTTTTTTACACATTGTATTATAATGTTATTAATAATTAACAAATTTTTATATATTGTTTGTTAATTAAAACTATGGTATATTAACTCTTTGTGTATATATATATATATATATATATATATATATATATATATATATATATATATATATATATATATATATATTATATATATATATATATATATATATATATATATATATATATATATATGTTTTTAAAGAATTTATTGGTTCAAAAAAAAGTAGAGTTATGTTTGCGGATACAGTGAAAAAAGATTGATTTTACATATGGTGCCTATAGACGGCTCTGGCTTACCTTCTTGTGGTGTCTATTGTTAAAAATGATTTATTTAGTTTGATAATTGGAATTTTAAATTATATCATTTACTAAAAACCAAGTCATAAATTTATATATTTTGTATTTTAAAACTTTTTAAAATATAAGTATTAAAACTTTGGTTAATTTTTAGGGTGGATACTCAAACCTGCATCTTGTAATGTGGTAAGATTAGTAAAGTTATGTCTTTCTTTTTACACAATTTAAATACATTTTTGAAATTTTTATTGACATTTTTTTAAAGTTTAAATATAAAGAGGAGGAGGGGGCATTAGGCGTTGCACACACCCCTCCTGTCACTAACATGGTAAAATAATCTTGAATACTAATTTCTCTTTTTATATAAACTCAGTTTAAAACCATTTTTCAAATATCTTAAAAATTTTTTTTTTAGGTTGGAGAAGACTGAGAGGAAGGGGAGGAGGGCGTTAAGGGTGGCATCGTCCTGCCATTTATGCACCACTTGTATATGCTGTTATGTAAAAAAATTTAATTTAAACATTTCAACACAAAATATAATGTGTTAAAAAGATGTTTTTTAAGTTCAAATATAAGATGGTAACATTTCACTACGAGGGTGTTTAAAGGTAACAAAGACATCCATCCTTTAATCTAAAATATACCACTAATATTTGGAAATGTAACGGAAGCAAATTAGAACAACTTTTTGTGTATAAAGATAACAAATTTTATCAGAAAAATACTCTTTCGTGAGAAAAACTTGTATTTTTTTAAGGTTACGATGGTGTTCCAATACCTCTCTGGTCCTCTAGACACCCTTTTTATCTATAGAACTATATGAACTTGTAGCCTACTCTTACATCTATCTTTTGATACCAAGGTATAGGCATTTGGATAAGATTTGACAAAGTTATAACAATTTCAATGAAAAAAAAAAAAATTTTTGGAATCAGTTCCTTCAAGAAATCCATATATCGAAAATTTGCTACTAAAAACGTCATAACCTTTTTTTAAATTGTTTGTTTTTATTTTTTTTTCACCATTAAAATACTTTATTGAAGGGCTTTATAATGATATATAACATTCTAGTAAATGCTCAAATAAAAAAAATCAGTCCGCATACCTATATATATATATATATATATATATATATATATATATATATATATATATATATATATATATATATATATATATATATATATATATATATATATATATATATATATATATATATATATATATATATATATATATATATATATATATATATATATATATATATATATATATATATATATATATATATATATATATATATATATGTATATATCCTTAAAGTGTAGTCGAAAGAGTCGTTTAATGTAAAAAAAGTCTTTTTCGACTACAATTTTAATTACCTCGTCTCTTAAGCTGTTTTTGGTTGTCATCGAAATGTCAAAGCAATTAATTTATGCGGAAGTACATTAAATTTAATTGTTTTTTAAAAAATTTTTAAAAAACCGCAATTATAACGACTAGAAAGTTTTTTTTAATTAGTGGTGTTTTTGTTATTAATTTAATAAAAAACATTTTTAAAACATGCGTAAATGTTGCTACATCGACTATCTTATAGCCTGACTCGCAACAGAGTGCTGCTACATCGACTGACAAATAGCCTGACTCGCAACGGAGTGCTGCTACATCGACTGACAAATAGCCTGACTCTCAACGGAGTGCTGCTACATCGACTGACAAATAGCCTGACTCGCAAGGGAGTGCTGCTACAACGACTGACAAATAGCCTGGATCCCTAGAGAGTGCTGCTACATCGACTGAGGGTTTTGTTTGGCCAGGCAGTCTATCAATTAAAAAAAAAAATTTAATTGTTAAAACTTTTTCTGGTCTGGTTTATTAACGCGCTCTTTAAAACTACAGTTTATGGGAAACTTTTTTTGATGCCATGCAAGAGATATGCAAGAGTATATATATATATATATATATATATATATATATATATATATATATATATATATATATATATATATATATATATATATATATATATATATATATATACATATATATATATATTCAGGTATGTACACTCGTGGTCGCCCGATAGCACCAGGCGACCGAATATTGTGAAGGGCGACTCAAAATATTTTTTTAAGCTATTAAGTCGCCCGAAACGGCGTCTATTGATTTTTATTGGCAGTTATAATTTTTTTGTGTGTGTAATTTAAGAGATTTAAAATATGCAAAATAACTAATGCAATAAGTAACTAAATTAATAATGAAACTTTATTTTAAAAGTCACAATGCTAAAGTTTGTTTATCGCATTTTCTATTGATAATTAGAACAAAATACGAGTAAAAAAAAAACAAAAAAAATTTCTCGTTAAAAATTTTTTTTTTTTTTTTTATTTAATTAAATTTTAGAGATATGTAATAATTTGAAAGATAAGTAATAGAAGTAAATTTGTCCAAAAAAATACTAGAAGAGAAATACTTATACTTATATACGTATTACAACATTTTAAATATTTTCCGAAATTTTTTTCAGTAAATACATTTACTGAAAAAAAAAAAAAAAAAACTTAAAGAAATGACTAATGACTCTAGATTGCGTCTGGAAAAGCATTTTAATTATTACTTTAAAAACTAGTTACTACTCATCATTAGAAATTTAGTTCAATTTACACCATACAAATTACATTTTAAATTACAATAAATTCCAATCCTGCAATTATTGTGAGACCAGACAGTCTCCAAGTATTTAAAAACAAATTATTTAACCATTTAACGTATATTATTTTAAACTATCTCTAAAATCTGTTTAAATAAAGTAGATGTTTATTTCAGTTCCAATCATTTTGTTTACAATTAAGTTGATTATTGAGTTTATGAATAAGATAAAAAATTTCACGTAAGTTGTGTTGCGTTAGTTCGCTAACGCAGCAGCCAGTATGCTTCTTTACTTTGTATATTTAACTGTACGCGTAGCAAGTCTCGCTCTCTTACGCTTCCTTTTTCACCACGAGCTGAGCATTTAGCGCAATCCAAGTTTGTAATTGTAAATAACGAGACGTATCTTCAAGAAATTTATATTAAAGTAATCTTATCTATGTGAATTAATGTTAGAGTCCCTTCCAAATTCTTTAAGTTGCAACGTTTATTTTTATTTTTCAATGTAATTTACCGTGATAATTATAAAAGTAATTTATAATTATCAAATGATAATTTATATTATCATTTATATTGTTTTCATTTATTTAGTATTATGACATTTTTTCACTGCACGTAAAAGAAAACTCAAATCTGTTAGTCTGACCAGCGCAAGCAGCGATGATATACAATGGAAATATGAAAAAACGAAAAGTATGTCTTGGTAAAATTTAAATGTCATTTAAAAGTATGTTTTGGTAAAATTTAAATGTCATTTAAAAGTATGTTTTGGTAAAATTTAACAGCCGAGGCGCAGTGGTTAGAGTTCCGGCTCAGAACCCAGAGGTCCGGGGTTCGACGCCAGCTCTCGCCCAACAAGCGACATTGGTACGGAAGGAGGCGTGAACTTCCTGTTAAATGCTCTCCCGCGGTGCTCTATGATAAGACCGTAAGGACTTCTGGGAGCACCTAAATACATACAAAAAAAAAAAAAAAAATCGAACAATACAACCGTCATGGTTAAAAGAATATCCTTGGTTTAGACACAACAAAATTTCCGAGTTGTATACAGAAGAGGGAACAAAGAATACTAAAAGGTTTCTAACAGAATTAAACAAGGAACGCAAAAAAAAAAAAGAGAAGATCAGGAGTAAATTGCTGGGAGAAGTATTATCACTCCAAACAATTAAAGGAAAACTACACTCCATCAAAAAACGAGATCAAACAACTTCCATCCCAGTAAGCACAAGACGCATTTTAGACACTTATAGACGTCTAAAACTAGTCTAGGTAAAGACGCACTTATATACGTTTTTAAAATGACGTTTAAAAGGCGTCTTTTTAAAAGATAAAAAGACGTCTAGAAGACGTCAATTTTTAAAACATCTTCTAGACGTCTTTTATAAAGGCGTTTTAAAAATGACGTTTAAAAGGCGTCTATTTAAGCGTTAAAAAAAGTCTAGAAGAAATCTTTTTTTAAGACATCTTCTAGACGTCTTTAATAAATGCGATTTTAAAATGACGTTTAAAATGCGTTTTTTTAAAGTTTAAAAAGACGTTTAAAATACGCATAATAAATAGTCGGAAAGACGCATTAAAAGACGTCTAGATCAAGGCTAAAAGACGTCTTTTGTGAGACCTGTTTATAAATATGTCATTATGACTTCTTTTTGACGGCTTTGTCATTACGCGTTAAGTAGATGTCGTATATTCAAAGTAAAAACATAGTTTTTATTATTTTTAATAATTTGTTTAAGTTTTAAGTGTAAAAATTTAACACTTAAAACTTAAACAAATTATTGAAAATAATAAAAACTATGTTTTTACTTTGAATATACGACATCTACTTAACGCGTAATGACAAAGCCGTCAAAAAGAAGTCATAATGACATATTTATAAACAGGTCTCACAAAAGACGTCTTTTAACCTTGATCTAGACGTCTTTTAATGCGTCTTTTAGACTATTTATTATGCGTCTTTTAAACGTCTTTTTAAACTTTAAAAAGACGCATTTTTAACGTCATTTTAAAACACCTTTATAAAAGACGTCTAGAAGATGTCTTAAAAATTGACGTCGTCTAGACGTCTTTTTATCTTTTAAAAAGACGCCTTTTAAACGTCATTTTAAAAACGCATTCATAAAAGACGTCTAAAAGATGTCGTTAAAACGTCTATAAAAGTGCGTCTTTACCTAGACTAGTTTTAGACGTCTATAAGTGTCTAAAATGCGTCTTGTGCTTACTGGGATCAAAGTAAAATGTTTACAAAAGATAAAAATTTTGTCGCACTCTTTTTTTCAATTATGAATAATTAAAAGTCTATTAAAAGTTTCTTGAAAGAACAAATTCATTCGAATTTTATAATTATATTTTGTTGCTCTCATTCTTAGAGTTTTTTCAGAGTTTTTTCAGAATATTTCCTAAACATTTATTAATTAAAATTTAATTTTTCAAAATAAAATATAAAAATTATTATTATTTGTATATTGATAAAATACATAATTTGTCGCTGTAAATTATATATTGAATTAACTACTAAATTCAAATATTTAATTACATATATAACTTAACTATATAGTATTTAATTAAAATACACTATTGCTTTTCAAATTAAAACGTTAATGTAACAAATAAAAAATTGTTTACTTACAAATTTAAGAATATACCAAAAATAATGTTGTTTATGTTTGTATTTAAAGGCAACACAAAAAAAAAAGTTTCAACGTATGAAGTTAAGTTTTCATTCGAGCATGCCGTTTGCAATTTAGAAAGATTCGAAGAAAATCCAGACTCTGGTTTTTACTGGAAAAAACGCTCGATATATGTGATTATAAATTTGCATGAAGTGATAAAATACGAGATCGAGTTTTTATTGCTACATCCATGAAAAAGTGCATTTTGAAACGATGTTCAAATGTATCAGATGTCTTTGCGGAGGCGGACGAGTTGCTTAACACAGTTGAATGGACGGAGAGCGACTTTTTTACGGCTAAAAACAACAAAAAGTTACATAAAAATATGCTAGACAATAACATAAAAGCCCTTATTGACGACAATATGCTGCGTCAACAACTCAAATATAAACAAGTTAAAAATATTTTATCAGATGTTAGAAATATTTTACCAGTGGATAATTTTGAAAAAAATAATGGCAACTTGGACAAGTGCAAGTTCAAAATCATTTCCATAGCTATCTTGGTCACAAATAGCGACTAATATTAAAGCAGATATATTCGCTAATTTTTTTTTTCTGATTGATTTTTTATTGTGCCATAGCTTAAGTTCAGCAGACGCGGAAAAAGGCTTTAGCGCAATGAAAAACGTTAAGTCAATTCAAAGAACACGAGTCAGAAACAAGTTATTAACAATGCAATTGCGCATCAAGATTGATGGTCCAGAAATGGAAATATACGATCCAACAAAAGCCATCAAATACTGGCTTTTAAAGCCATCACGAAAAAATAAAACTGGCATCAATCAAATAAAAAAAGATTTAGTTACATGGACAACAAAACTCCAGTTGTATCAGTTAAAAAGTCAAAGAAAATAAAGATTTTTTCAAGTAGCGATGATGACAGTGATAGAGCTGTAACAATTGATGACGATATGTAATAATTTTGAATCTTGTTTATATTTTTATTTTGTATTGTTTTTTACCTTTCAAAATAAAAATAGTTTTTCTTGTAACAAATAATAAGATCGTAATAATTACAACACATTAAAAGGGTTTTAAAGTATTTGTAAATTGTTTTTTATATTTGTCAAGAGTTTTTTGTTGTAAACGAACGTCAATTTTTTTATAAAATGAGCGCTCAAATAAAGCTCAAATAGAATGGCATGTGTTTTATTTCAAAGTAAAAAAAAGAATTTTATCAATAGTTTGCAATATTACTTTTGTTTGCGCGAATTGTTTCTAGTGTACATTTAGCCGTAAAACAAAAAATGACTAAAACATGCGAGAACTTTGCTAAGTGGAAACTTTTTTAAAAAAATGGCAACGGGCGACTCAAAACGTCGGCGGGCGACCAAAATTAGCAAACTGGTTAGTTTCAGTCGCCCTTCTGGCGACTGACCAAAAGTCCGAGTGTACACCTCTATATATGTATATATATATATATATATATATATATATATATATATATATATATATATATATATATATATATATATATATATATATATATATATATATATATATATATATATATATATATATATATATATACATATATGTAAAACTGACCTTATTCGAATAAATCATCAATACAAACCAACAAGGTGTTTGCAATACTTCAAATTAAATATAGTAACACCACGCTGCAGCGACAATTTTTGTTTTGATTTCGTTAAAACACAACTTTACCGCTAACTTATGGCAAGCAAATACGATATTTTATTATTTAACCCTTTATTGCATGACAGACATAAAATACATATTTTTAATAGAACTTTTTTTATTTGAAGCTAAATATCATTTGAACATACATTATGCTAAAAAACTACATCATTTTATAGAAAAAAGTGTCCTAAAAAATTGTCTAATCAAATGGAAATTATGCAATAGAGGGAATAGAAAAATAAATACAAACTAAGCAAACATCATTTGATGTATATATTAATATGATTTACACATATATAACTATTATAACATGAAATAATGATTTACACATATATGATATGAATATAAACATATATGATATGTATATACATGATATGAAACATCAAAATATATGACTTTTTATGATAAAAGCACCCAAACGTTATTCTACACCATGAAATGCTAGAAAACATTTATTATTTGCAACAAAAAGATATATTTTGCACTTTGAACATTGATACTTAGTCTTTTTGATACATGATTCATATTTACAGCGTTGAGAGTTTTTAACATCTAGAAGAACAGGCCAATGTTTATGTTTATCAAGACGAACATCTTTTGGTGTATCAATTGCTCTCATAGATCGGGAATCAGGCATTTTCATAATTTTTCATTGAGGTTGGTTCATTCATAATCATTGATATGCAAATATCAGCCAAAAAATCAACCAAAGGTTTATTACCACCTATTTCACTATAAACAATCCAAGAATTGACTGCAGCTTGACTGAAAAGGTGGAAAGCTAACCTGTGATACCATTTTTTAGATCTATAGCGAGTGCGATAAAGAGAAAGAAGCATATCTGCTTTATCTACACCACCCATAAATTTATTGTATATCTGAATGCAATTTTTATAACTATTTGTAACGACCGTGGAAGTTAGATCTTTTTCCAGAATATATAATTGATTGATTGATTGATATATATTTAAAAATTCCAGATACGCATTATGTCCATCTAAATGGACAATATATAAAAATAATAAAATGCTTTAGTAAATGTTCATGATGAAGGTAAAACTAACTATATTTCTTTTATTTAAATATTTATATGCAGGTTTCATAAGCTTTTAAAAGTATTTATACAAATATCATGACTCAACAATTAAAAATATATATACAGTATGCAAAAATTACTTAACACTGACTCCTCTTGAAGTTGCCATCTTTTTCAAAGAATTTTCGCGCAAGTTCAAAAAAAATCTAATATTTTTAAAAAGACCAACCCCTACTTGGAGCAATACATTTTACAGTTAATCTTCAAACTAACTTATTTCAAGTCAGCATTGTTTTTAATAAAGTCTATTCAAATGGACGGTATGCAATAAAGGGTTAAAGGGAACAACGTAACACAAAGTTAATTTTTTATTTTTAATTTTAATTTTTCTATTATTATATAATAAGATATACTATATTTTAAATTATATATATTTTTATTTTCTAAATTACTTTTTTCTTGAAAAATAAGAAATTATTTTTTAGATGGTTTATGCAATTATTTGATTCGGCATTTTAACAAGTATTTTCGCAGAGCATTAATTCACAACAGCGAAAATGCCGCTATAAAAATGGTGCCGTTATTAACATAATTTAAACAAAAATGGTTTTAAAACGTAGTTTCATTAAGCAGTTTTTTAATTGAAAAATATTTTATATTTTTTCTAAAAATGATTTTATTGTTTTTTCATTTAAAAAACCAAAAAAAAAAATTTAAATAATAGAAACATAAAAAATTTAAGCAATGAACTTTTTAATTTATTTCAAACTTACCATAGTTTACAAAAGATAAAAATTTTGTCGCACTCTTTTTTTCAATTATGAATAATTAAAAGTCTATTAAAAGTTTCTTGAAAGAACAAATTCATTCGAATTTTATAATTATATTTTGTTGCTCTCATTCTTAGAGTTTTTTCAGAGTTTTTTCAGAATATTTCCTAAACATTTATTAATTAAAATTTAATTTTTCAAAATAAAATATAAAAATTATTATTATTTGTATATTGATAAAATACATAATTTGTCGCTGTAAATTATATATTGAATTAACTACTAAATTCAAATATTTAATTACATATATAACTTAACTATATAGTATTTAATTAAAATACACTATTGCTTTTCAAATTAAAACGTTAATGTAACAAATAAAAAATTGTTTACTTACAAATTTAAGAATATACCAAAAATAATGTTGTTTATGTTTGTATTTAAAGGCAACACAAAAAAAAAAGTTTCAACGTATGAAGTTAAGTTTTCATTCGAGCATGCCGTTTGCAATTTAGAAAGATTCGAAGAAAATCCAGACTCTGGTTTTTACTGGAAAAAACGCTCGATATATGTGATTATAAATTTGCATGAAGTGATAAAATACGAGATCGAGTTTTTATTGCTACATCCATGAAAAAGTGCATTTTGAAACGATGTTCAAATGTATCAGATGTCTTTGCGGAGGCGGACGAGTTGCTTAACACAGTTGAATGGACGGAGAGCGACTTTTTTACGGCTAAAAACAACAAAAAGTTACATAAAAATATGCTAGACAATAACATAAAAGCCCTTATTGACGACAATATGCTGCGTCAACAACTCAAATATAAACAAGTTAAAAATATTTTATCAGATGTTAGAAATATTTTACCAGTGGATAATTTTGAAAAAAATAATGGCAACTTGGACAAGTGCAAGTTCAAAATCATTTCCATAGCTATCTTGGTCACAAATAGCGACTAATATTAAAGCAGATATATTCGCTAATTTTTTTTTTCTGATTGATTTTTTATTGTGCCATAGCTTAAGTTCAGCAGACGCGGAAAAAGGCTTTAGCGCAATGAAAAACGTTAAGTCAATTCAAAGAACACGAGTCAGAAACAAGTTATTAACAATGCAATTGCGCATCAAGATTGATGGTCCAGAAATGGAAATATACGATCCAACAAAAGCCATCAAATACTGGCTTTTAAAGCCATCACGAAAAAATAAAACTGGCATCAATCAAATAAAAAAAGATTTAGTTACATGGACAACAAAACTCCAGTTGTATCAGTTAAAAAGTCAAAGAAAATAAAGATTTTTTCAAGTAGCGATGATGACAGTGATAGAGCTGTAACAATTGATGACGATATGTAATAATTTTGAATCTTGTTTATATTTTTATTTTGTATTGTTTTTTACCTTTCAAAATAAAAATAGTTTTTCTTGTAACAAATAATAAGATCGTAATAATTACAACACATTAAAAGGGTTTTAAAGTATTTGTAAATTGTTTTTTATATTTGTCAAGAGTTTTTTGTTGTAAACGAACGTCAATTTTTTTATAAAATGAGCGCTCAAATAAAGCTCAAATAGAATGGCATGTGTTTTATTTCAAAGTAAAAAAAAGAATTTTATCAATAGTTTGCAATATTACTTTTGTTTGCGCGAATTGTTTCTAGTGTACATTTAGCCGTAAAACAAAAAATGACTAAAACATGCGAGAACTTTGCTAAGTGGAAACTTTTTTAAAAAAATGGCAACGGGCGACTCAAAACGTCGGCGGGCGACCAAAATTAGCAAACTGGTTAGTTTCAGTCGCCCTTCTGGCGACTGACCAAAAGTCCGAGTGTACACCTCTATATATGTATATATATATATATATATATATATATATATATATATATATATATATATATATATATATATATATATATATATATATATATATATATATATATATATATATATATATATATATATATATATATACATATATGTAAAACTGACCTTATTCGAATAAATCATCAATACAAACCAACAAGGTGTTTGCAATACTTCAAATTAAATATAGTAACACCACGCTGCAGCGACAATTTTTGTTTTGATTTCGTTAAAACACAACTTTACCGCTAACTTATGGCAAGCAAATACGATATTTTATTATTTAACCCTTTATTGCATGACAGACATAAAATACATATTTTTAATAGAACTTTTTTTATTTGAAGCTAAATATCATTTGAACATACATTATGCTAAAAAACTACATCATTTTATAGAAAAAAGTGTCCTAAAAAATTGTCTAATCAAATGGAAATTATGCAATAGAGGGAATAGAAAAATAAATACAAACTAAGCAAACATCATTTGATGTATATATTAATATGATTTACACATATATAACTATTATAACATGAAATAATGATTTACACATATATGATATGAATATAAACATATATGATATGTATATACATGATATGAAACATCAAAATATATGACTTTTTATGATAAAAGCACCCAAACGTTATTCTACACCATGAAATGCTAGAAAACATTTATTATTTGCAACAAAAAGATATATTTTGCACTTTGAACATTGATACTTAGTCTTTTTGATACATGATTCATATTTACAGCGTTGAGAGTTTTTAACATCTAGAAGAACAGGCCAATGTTTATGTTTATCAAGACGAACATCTTTTGGTGTATCAATTGCTCTCATAGATCGGGAATCAGGCATTTTCATAATTTTTCATTGAGGTTGGTTCATTCATAATCATTGATATGCAAATATCAGCCAAAAAATCAACCAAAGGTTTATTACCACCTATTTCACTATAAACAATCCAAGAATTGACTGCAGCTTGACTGAAAAGGTGGAAAGCTAACCTGTGATACCATTTTTTAGATCTATAGCGAGTGCGATAAAGAGAAAGAAGCATATCTGCTTTATCTACACCACCCATAAATTTATTGTATATCTGAATGCAATTTTTATAACTATTTGTAACGACCGTGGAAGTTAGATCTTTTTCCAGAATATATAATTGATTGATTGATTGATATATATTTAAAAATTCCAGATACGCATTATGTCCATCTAAATGGACAATATATAAAAATAATAAAATGCTTTAGTAAATGTTCATGATGAAGGTAAAACTAACTATATTTCTTTTATTTAAATATTTATATGCAGGTTTCATAAGCTTTTAAAAGTATTTATACAAATATCATGACTCAACAATTAAAAATATATATACAGTATGCAAAAATTACTTAACACTGACTCCTCTTGAAGTTGCCATCTTTTTCAAAGAATTTTCGCGCAAGTTCAAAAAAAATCTAATATTTTTAAAAAGACCAACCCCTACTTGGAGCAATACATTTTACAGTTAATCTTCAAACTAACTTATTTCAAGTCAGCATTGTTTTTAATAAAGTCTATTCAAATGGACGGTATGCAATAAAGGGTTAAAGGGAACAACGTAACACAAAGTTAATTTTTTATTTTTAATTTTAATTTTTCTATTATTATATAATAAGATATACTATATTTTAAATTATATATATTTTTATTTTCTAAATTACTTTTTTCTTGAAAAATAAGAAATTATTTTTTAGATGGTTTATGCAATTATTTGATTCGGCATTTTAACAAGTATTTTCGCAGAGCATTAATTCACAACAGCGAAAATGCCGCTATAAAAATGGTGCCGTTATTAACATAATTTAAACAAAAATGGTTTTAAAACGTAGTTTCATTAAGCAGTTTTTTAATTGAAAAATATTTTATATTTTTTCTAAAAATGATTTTATTGTTTTTTCATTTAAAAAACCAAAAAAAAAAATTTAAATAATAGAAACATAAAAAATTTAAGCAATGAACTTTTTAATTTATTTCAAACTTACCTATAGTTAATAGAAATAAAAATGCCGTAAATAAGTAAAGTGTATAGGTCTAATATCAAATTCAATTAAATATTTTTCATTATATAATAATAAACCACACACTTTAAAAAGTTAGTGAAATAATGTGTTTAAACGCTATTTTTAAAAGTTATTTATGTTATATATCATTTTTAAACTCGTGGCAGTTATATATTAAAAATGTGCGCAAAATATTATAATTGATAGCGCGTAGTAGTTTTATGCTTACCTTAATTGTTATTGACATGTATAAATACTATGGAAAATTGATTGAGTGAGTAAAATGATCTGAGTATCAAATTTACTGATTTACTATTGAGATCTTTTTAATCATAATATTTCAATAAAGATTCAAAAAAAGCACTTAAAAGGTTTGCTTTTTTGTTTTTTTATGTTCATTTATAATTGTAAATTTTATTCAATTAAAATTTTAATTGTGTAATTTTAATTGTGTGTGTATCAGTGTGTGATTTAGCATTTTGCAAAAAAATTTTCACAGAAAAGTATGAAAAAACAGAAATCCGGATAAGAAAAGAAAAAAGAAAAATTCCAAGCTGAGTTAAAGATATTACAATCGGGGCAAAAAAACTCTCCCTGGATTCTTTGCATCATCATCAACTAATCCTATACCATTCGATTCCACTGATACCTTGTAACCAATTACAGACGAAGTTTCTAGTCACAGTAATCCAGTTGACTTTTCAATTTCAAGAGCATCGGAACACGTTAGTACTAAATCTCTACAAAAGTTGGATAACATAGATGCTTAATGAACACTTGAGGCAGCTGTCAGCAACCGAAAAAACATCCTAAAAACAGGAGTTTGGTGAAAAATCTGGATCAGTTGGAAGGGGATCAAAAATTACATGGCTTAGTAACTACACTTTTAATGAACTACTGAAAGTTTTCACTACTGAAATGCAAAAGCAAATTATCAGCTTAATAAATAAAAATGGGGTTTTTAGTATACAAGTTGATTCAACAACAGATATAGCTCTATGCAACCAGATGTGTCTTGTAATTTTTTTTTTTTTTTTTTTTTTTAAGTTGATTAAGGTGCCCCAAGAAGTCCTTACGGTCTTATCACAGAGCACCACGGAAGAGCATTTAATGGGAAGTTCACGCCTCCTTCCCAACCGATGTCGCAAAACTTGCCCAGAGGTGAGGTTTGAACCACGGATCTTACGATTCTGAGGCAAGTGCGTAATTCGTACCGTTCAGAAGCAACACCAAGAAGCAATCGATGAATACGTTTCCTACGTTCCATTACGCAATATCATTGAAGAGAGGTTGATTGATGTATGTGAAATAACTTGTGGAAGAGCAGCAAATTTATTTACAGACATATCTGATATGTTGGACAAAACAAATCTTGACTGGAAAGCAAATTGCATTGCGCACTGTTTCGATGGGGCATCAGTGATGACGAAGCTTGCGGACCATTTTCGAGAAACTACTCAAAATGTAAATCAACACATATGGTGTCATTCACATCATCTTAGCCTTACTTTTGTTGACCATTGTAGCCTCATTGATCATCCTTCGGTTCAGCAGCTATTCTCTATGCTTCAAAACCTATTTAACTTTGTAAACGCAGGTTACAAGAGATGTGCAGTATTTGTGAATACAGTCAACGGAAGCAAGCATAATCAGGGTGGAAGTAAAAAGTTGGCTAAGTTTCTTACGCATAAGTGGCAAGGAAGATGCAAAGCTGTAACTAGTTTGAAAGGTAGATTTATCAGTGAGGATGCCGAGAAGCAAGTTAACGATGGATTAATTGTTCAATTAATCGCTACTTTGGACTTAATTGCCGCAGACACTGATTTTGATGTGGAAACGCGAGGAACTGCTTTTGCGCTTCTTCAACAAGTTCTACGAAAGGAGAGTATAGTTTTAGCTATATTATATTCCCAGATGATGTCTCCTGTGGATGAGTTAATGTCAATGATGCAGTTTCGAGATAGCAATTATTCCAGCGTAAATCAATTAATCTCAGCAACCCTGTTGAAATTGAAAGAAACTGGAAAAAAATTTGACCACTTTTGGAGATATGCTGATTCATATTGCAAGGTAAAAATAATAATATTAAACTATTGAGCTATCTTGTTTAATTAATTCATAATTAATTAACCTTGTTAAAGGAATATTTGGTACATATACATTCTAATAGTAAAATTAGTGGTAAAATATTTGCATGTTAACTATTATATTTATAGGTACTTCAAAGAAATGTATATGTTATCATGAAATTAGATTCTGAAAACTCAGAGATGAAAAATGATTTAGAACGTTTAGTGGTATCATACGGGAACGGTGGTGGCAGTGTTCGAATGAAACAGCTATATGCGTTTCCGAGATCGGCATTTAAAGAAATACGTTCTTTAATATTCGGTAATATATTAACAGAGATGCGTGTCCGATTTAGTGATAAAGGCTGCGAAGATTTAAATTCTTTGTGTTCGATTGCATGTCCAAATATGCTAATTTTTAACACTGATCAAGAAATTGATGCGTACAATTTTAATACATATATTGCGAAATTCCCCTCATTGAATAACATTGATTGTGTTAGTCTTAAAAAAAAACTAAAACTTCGACTCTATTTGAAAGCTCTTGGCACACGTCGAATCGTTATAATAAATGACGACAATG